TACCCTAAAAAGATCTAAACTGTGTTTCCTACAAAAAGACAAAGCAGGTTATGTTTCACAGCTGTCTTTTTCTTTTTTTTTCGCTCGATATTACGAGCACTGCTCTGTTTAAGCAGTTGCAATCTGCGCTCAATAAGGGACCGTCGGAAAAGTGCTTCATTTTTTTCCGTTTTATTTTATTTTTTCCAAAAACAAAATCAACTCAACTGACGTGTCATATTATCACAATTATGCAGTGTTTTAACCGCCTAATACTTCATTTATGTTTTCGATATGTAAATAAACACAAGATCTAGTAAAACAAGACATTTAGAGTTTATAAAACACACAAGGAAGTCTAACAATCCATTCAAATATAATTTGCTAATGTGTCTTATTCATATCAGATACACAATATACATAGTGAAAGTAACTATAAAGTTGAATCTACTCTGCTCTTACATCACCAGCCACTTACTTGGACGTATTTTGGGAGTAACTTATGAATGTACGTGCTAAATCCTGCGTGTTCTGCTTTTTATGTATGAGGCAGTGGCCGCAAGTAAACATAGAGACATCCATCTCACGTTATAGATCACGATCACTTACACGTTTATGTGAATTGGAATATCAGGTAGTTGATGACATGATGAGCAAGCGTGTGAATATGTTTAATTAAACAGAAAAAAAACTAAGTAGAAGGGATACATCTGTCATACATCACTGTTGTAGCTGCGGTGTGTCACGAGACAAACATGATGCGTCGCCAAGAAAACATTAGGGGTGAATGTTAAAAAAAAAACTGACTCCTGGGCACGAGAGAATCTTTTGAACTCAGCAGTGAAAGAGTTAATAACAGTAGTAAAGCAGCGGTGGTAGAGTTAATTTGCATTGCAAGACTAAAGATATTTTTATGCACTTGCATTTTTTGGATCCTTCATTTTTCATCTGTTGTCATGTATAGCTGCCCTGCAGAAAAGTTTTCTTACTTTGTCATTTTGTCTCGTTTCCAGTTCAAATATCTAAAAAATCTTCCATCAAGAACAGACAAAAAAAAAATGACATGAGAAAATGAAGTGATGCTGAAAACCTCTGTTTAAGATTATATCTTATAAAGATAATTTTTCTTAAACCACTGGCAAATAATTTAGCTCGTTTTAAGCAAACAATCACTTAATTTTGAGGTTAAGTGATTTCTTATGCTATTTCATGTGTCAAGTATGCATCTTCATTTAAAAACATTAAGATATTTGGATTGAAAACAGGAAAAAACTAGTTAGATTTTTCTTTTTATTATTATTATCATTATTTTTATTATTATTATTATCATTATTTTTGTTATTGTTATTATTATTATTATTATTATTATAACAGCTCAGGGATGAGCATTTTTAAGTAAAGGGTTGGAAATTAAAGCGTTTCTTGGCTTTTTTTATCCGATTAATCGAAAAAATAGGACAGTTATGCAGTATGTTACTGTATTTAAAGTCACATTGTGAAAATTACTGTATAAATATATACAATACTGTAAATACATACACAGCAAGATGAATGGTGCTGTTAATGTAAATAATTTTTTTTGCTGTAATTGATTTACAGTAAGTTACTGGGGAACTGCTGACAGTAAATGACTGTAGATTCTATAGGAAATTGTTAACAGTGTACCATCATTAATGTATTACATAACGAGCACTTCTATGTATTGCCTCTTCTTGTTGAATGCCTCCTCAATTGCAAGTCGCTTTGAATAAAAGCGTCTGCTAAATGACTAAATGTAAACATAGACCATAGCAGTATTTCATTCTAACTGTACTAAAAACGTATTCACCCTTCAAAATGCAATTCTATATTTGAAGCTAATGACATATAACATATGTATATTGTCATTTAAATTATTTAGAGCAACTGAAAACCAACTACTTTAAACTCTTACACCAAAATAAATGTGCTGTTTGACATGACATTAACAAAAACTGGCCACAGATGGTCATAGATTTGATTCAGTGTATAGCCAAACTTGAACTCCAATGCGACTAAACAACAACTCGAGCAGAACGCACAAACATATTATGTTTTAACAGAGACTGACAACGCCATTCTGCTTCCTTCCCTTGACTACAATGTTTATTTTTAAACTTCTCCATTTTTCAAATGCAAATATGCTGAACGTGTCATTGTAAAGTGCATCCACACCATACAACAATTATAATCAGCTTAAACCATATTGAAATACCTGAACGTTTTCAGGAAATTAACCAAATTTTTGAGGAAGAAGTAGCTAAATGTGCAACACACAATTAAATGGTTGGTTAAAGTATGTAGTTATACTCTTTTCACATGATGTCTGAAACTCACCCATCAATCATTTTAGTAATCTGGCAACGCCTTTTATGGAATTAAGTCAAAACCAACTGTAACTGCTGAACAAATACTGATAAATCATACATCAATATAAAAAATTATAATTTTAGGTCAAATAGCAAATCTTTAAATAACAAACAAACAATTAAATAAATAAATATACAATTAAATAAACTTGCTTTTTTATTTTGAAGCTCTTATCGAAGAGTCGCTAACAGCAAAACCATGGGTTTAATGCAGTGAACTAAACATGTATGAACTACAAAAGTGTGGGTGGGGGTCATAAATGCTGCTGCCTTTAACACTCATGGACATTTGTCTAAAACAAGATTTTGATACACATTCTGGAAAACACAAACATACACATTTTTTAGTTAAAAACCCATAAATCTTGTGTACTAAATTGACCCAAAAAATAATATATAGCTAACATTGGTTAAATCGAAAAAATGAATGCATTACAGAGGGAAAGAAGAGCAAATTACTGTATATAAATTACATGTTGATTCACCTTATTTCCCATACTTATTTTGATAGATAATAAAAGTGAGCAAACTAATATTTCTATAGGCACGTCACGGGTTCTTTCTTCATTTGTTCGTCACAACATTGGAAACATCCGACATTGCAAAATGTATTTTTTTGAGGCATATATTGCAACATATGAAGGCAATTTCACCACATAAAAAAGAGTTCATTCATTTAAATCGATTGAAGGGATTTTGTAGGGAAGGAAATAATAAGATAAATACAAACTGTAAGTACAATACAATAGAGCAAAAAATTAAGTAAAAAGTGCTTTACGGTTTTGGGGGGATTAGGAGCTCGACAAAACATAAATGTAATAATCAAACGTAAAACAGCACTACATAGTCTAAAAATTAAAAAACAATTATTCCGTAAAATGAAGTATCATTTATTGTGCATGAACGCTTAAAGTCTCTTGAAATGCTTACATCACACACATTAAAAACACGTGCAGGTTAAAAACAAAGGCTGGACTTTCTTATAAACTTTCACTCACTCGTCAAACACAGTGATTGCACAAAACCTTATGTGTTCTGAACTGTGGCTTCTGCTAAACTATAATTCTGTCTCATCGATCTTATCAATGCTGAAACTATATGCCCCTTTAACTGCCCCACCAAGAAAAACATTTTTTAATGTCGCTAGTTAACACACTCAATGCATTTGTTTTCAACAAATTCCATAATTTCTAAATTATCAACCCCTACCAAATTGGTTAATTTGTCAGTTTATGTTAAAGTACCAGAATTAATGCATATACTATAAAAATGTGAAAATCTGAAGTGTAAGACCAATTAATTTAAAAACATAATCATAATAAAGCATTTTTGAACAGTAAATCATTTTTATTTTTTGAAGTGTGTCATGAAATATTTCAGCTTCTCATTTAACATGTTTTCTTGGTTTTTTTTTTACAATAAAACCAAAATCAAGTGTAGTAGTTTATAACAGGATTATATTGGTTTAGTTCTTTTGTAAACCAACAATGCTGTGTAAACTATTATTTAAAACAGTCATTCTTTAGATGACTTAAAAGTCAGTATTTAAAATATGGTCAACCATTTGGTAGAGCAGCGAGTTAAACGGATATTGTGCAACCCTAAATATACCAATTTTCCTGCCTGTACTTTTTAAAGTAAAAACATGTCCACTTAATGAATATAACATAACATTATTGCACTAAGTGACAAAAATCACGCAACACTTTTTTTTAAAATGTCATTAATAATTTTTTAAGACTGGTCAAAATCAAAGTTTCACATTTGACCTGCTATAAAATGGCTGTAGTAAAACTTATATTGATGTTTTAGCTTGTTTACTCCTTTATTACATTTCATTATTTGATGTCAACATATAAACCCAAACAAAAAAAAGCGGTGTGGAAAATGTCTTAAAGTTATATTTTCATAATTTAAGTATGTTTTTATGATAGTAGCAAGCAAAGCAAGCAACTGATGTACATGTGCAATATGCACAATATTATTATAGCCGTCAATGTAGCTGTCAATACCTGTCAAACTTTACTAGGGGGTGGCTCACCATATTGTGCAGCCCTAAAAATGCCAATGTTTCTGCCTTTTCCCTGTTTTTAAAGTAAAAACATGTCCAGTTAATGAATAAAACAAAACATTACCACAACTGTCAATGTAGCTGTCAATACCTGTCAAACTTTACTAGGGGTGGCTCAACTTAAAGAGATAGCTTAATTCTGTCATCATTTACTCATCTTCAATTTGTTTCAGACATGTTTGAGTTTCTTTCTCCTGTCGAACATAAAAGAAAATATAAGGAAGGACGACGGAAAGCAGTGGCTGTTGACTTGAATGGTATTATTTCTTCCCTCTATGGACTTAATGTCTGCTGGTTTACAACATTTTTCGAAATATTGCTTTGTGTTTAACAAAAACAAACTCACATAAGTTTAGAACCAAATGAGTCTGCGAAAATAGCGAGGAATTATTCATTTTTTGGACGAACTATCCCTTTAAGTACTGTAATCCAGTCTCCGTTCATTCATCTGGTAATTGAATAAATACCTTTACACGTTGGTATAACTGAGAAAGCAAGACATTTACAACGAATTAGCTCTGCTCAGTCAATGACTAAAAACATGAATACCAAAAGATACTCACTACACACATAGGCACATAGCTCCCTGAATGGTCTCGCTGTCCCGAATGAGGTAAGTCCCATCCCGCCCTTTGTTGCCGAGCAGCTCCTCGCATCTCTGTTTGGTGATCGCGCCATGATACGATGGATGGTCCATGCTTCACATCGCACGTGTGAGGAGCGGGTAGAGCAGGTCAACTGCTGTTTACACCAAGAGATCAGATGTTTCCGTCACAAGTCCACTTGTTATCTTTGCGGAGGGAATCTTCCTTAATGCCTACACTCAGAAACGATGAATGTGCGTGATGCACGCTTTCCATCAAAGGGCATGCATATCATGCAGACAGACACGAACCAGCTCATAGGAAGTGGGTTAGAGTGCGTAGTGGTCAAAGGAAGTGCAGATGTACCAAAAGCAGTAAGTAACCGTGCGATATATATATATATATTTTTTTTATCTTAACCTAGCCTATATCATTTTTCATAATTAGTGGCCGTCTTTTACACATGTTCCGTAAATTTAGAACTTTAACAAGTTTAAAAAGATTATTTAAAAACTCACAACCTATATTCCATAGCATATAGTGCACCCTCACAAATCTATTGAATTCATATTTTTAATAGGAAGCTATACAATGTTATATTTGTGCATATACATAAGATTGGTCAGTACTGAAGCCAAACCTAGAGCTTATCTAACAAAATAACTTACAAATATGTAAAATATCACTAAATATGTTTAGTGACTAAATATTATTTTAATAAATATATATTTAATAAATCTGTTTTGCTTAAATGCACCAAAATACATTGACTATATTTACTGGGAAAAGGATAAAAAATACTCATTTTCAAAATTGGGCGAACTCAATAGGCTATATGCACACAGTCTTTTAATTTTCAGCAAGACAGTCTTTCATTACAAAATTGTCACGTTTAAGGTCTGATTGCTTTAAAAATCAGCGATCTTCACTGAATGTCAGATATACGATAGGCTATAAAGTGGGTCTCAGATCGGACTAGCACTGCATTAAATTACATTTCCCCCCGCCATGTCTTAAGACAGAATATTTTACCCCAGTATTTTCAATGGAATTTCTGCAATAGCCTGTTGCTACTGATGGCGCTAGTAATTACAAAGGTCTTTCATCTCGTTTTACACTTGAACAACTAAATGAATGCCTAAGTCTATTTATTCCATGTGTTGTAATCGCATTACAACATGAATGCTATAAAAACAACCTTGTGAAATTAAAATAGCCACACTAGCCACACTAGGTTTCACTGGAAGTTTATCATTGACTTCAAAACTCTGTGCATAGTGCCCATTATGCTGTATATTATGTTTATGCTACTTTAAGTTTGCATTCATTAGCTAGTATAATACTAATAAGGCAATTATATAGTAGTAAAGTATGTACTTTATTAATTGTATACTCATATATTCATTAGATAATAGCTGCTATTTAAAATAGGCTACTAGTATTTTCATTAGACTAGGGAAACTCTCATGTCATTCCAAACCCCTGAAACCAAATTAAGTTATTTTTGGTGGAATCCGAGAGCTTCCTCATCCATCATTGACAGGAAGGTTCCAGACTCATTAAATGAAGATTTATGAACTAATTTTGAGAGGAACACGTGATATGATTGACCGCGGCTGGTCTCGCATAATCATTGTTTGTCTAATCAGATATCATTGCTAGACTAATCAGTTGACTTCTAGTCTCCACTACATAGACCTATTCATCCTACTTTCCTTATCTTAGTTTTGAGTAGTCCCCCATGCACCTCATCTCCCCCTTTCCTCCTTTAACAGGGGGAGCTCTGGAGCCCTACCTGATCTCAGACCATAGATATTTACATTAGATGTCGCCTATACGCTATTGGTGTCTATTGGAAGGAATGTGTCAATAGAGCTGCCATTAGTACAAGGTAGCGCTCCTTTGAAATGAATGTGGGACCAAGGTGTAATGGAGGGCTGGTCATCCACAGCCAGGCCCTTGCAGAGACCGTCCAAAGGGCATGTGCATGATAAATTTCTTGAAGAGTGGGGGGGGGGGGGGGGGTGGGGGGGGGGTTGCGCGCATACTGAAGAGCGGTGTTGTCGCGCGTGTTCTGATCAGCTGTGTTGTCGCGCGCGTACTCAAGAGCGGTGTTGTCGCGCGCCTACTGAAGAGCGGGACCGAGGGTGTGCCGCGTCGCGGGGGCACTTTTGATCATTTTGGAAGGGCACTTTCTATCCAAGACTAAAAAGGGCATGTGCACTGCACAGGTTGAGCTCCATGTGTGCACGTGCCTGTCCACAGCCATAGATATATAAACATATATCTATGATCAGGAGTTTTCCCGGGAGTCAGTATGCAAATGTTTTTTTTAATTACGAAAATTATAATTTTACATCACTTTTCAACATTGATGGATACATGTTCGCACGGGCATTGCCGACAAAGAGCATGAGTTTATGTGCATGGAAATGTATTATCCTCCCTACCTGTTAAATTTGATCTAACCCATGTCCTGAAACACAGCCCCATCCTGCTTTCACTTCTCATTCTAACGGAGGGAGCTATTCATTTGTGAATGAATCTGCGTTATAAACAACTCGTTCTATTAGCCGACAATAATACAAGCCTCTATTTGTCATATTTCCTTCACATTGTTTGCTGATTTTATTCAACCAAACTAGCATAAGGCCAGAATTTAGTGCGAGTTGGTGCTACGTTCCTTATGATCAGTGCAGTAAGTGAGTCACTGTATTACTAGCATACTTGTTTAGCACAAAAGTTTGTAACATATAAAAATGTTTAAAAAAAAAAATGAAATTTTACCTATGAAATGTTCTGCCTTTGTGTTTTGTTTTCTTTGTTTGCTCTATACTACACCCACACACAGAGCTAAAGTCCAGCATCTTCAGATTGGCTTTAGTTTTGACTAGTGCAGATGAATAACTTGTGTCGAGGAAGCACTGTACTAATATGTCGCTATTGACGCATACCAGGGTCCATATGCAATATCTAGTGTATATATCTATGATCTCGGACCCCCTGTCACGCTACATGACCAGGCAGGAGCTCTGGGCTCAAGTATCTCTGAACTCTGGGTTTTGTCTTGGGACAGCATACCAAATCTGCCATATGCTTTCAGTAGTTCAATCTTAGTACACTATAATAAAATGCTGGGTTCCACACAATTCCTTCATGTTGTCCCACCACAAGTTTTCACAAATTTAAACGGATTGAAGTCAAAACAATTAAGTTATCTTAAGAATTGTGTTTCAACTCATTTTACATGAGTAATTTAAACAAGCATCAAAGGTAATTTTTCTGAGTGCTTTATCAAGCAAAGAATACACTTTTGTGTTCTCACAACATGAAAATAACAACAAGTTTCTCCTCAGTGTCAGTATAGGATGCACATTCATGTATCATTGCTTGGTCAAGCCTCTGATGTATTATTATGTACCTGTGCTTGTTTCAAACTGAGGCAGTGCCAGTGAAAGAGTGCAATATACTGACACTGAGGAGAAGAAACTTCAAATAAGTTGTTCTTTTCATTTTGTGTGCACATTAATGTACTCTCATAGCTTGATAATATTCCTGAACAATAGTGTATGTTTTCTCTGTTCCTTCTCCGGCCTCCAGTACTTGCAGCTCTGCACGAGGAGTTTGGCCGGAGAACAAATGGTTGTGCTCAACTGAGCCTGGTTTCTCTCGAGGTTTTGTCCTTCACTTTCGTCAATAAGTGTAGTTTATTCCTCGCCACTGTCACCACTGGCTTGCATGGTTTAGGACTTGTGGAGCTGTGCATTGATGGATTTGCTCTAAAGTGTTTGGACTTTCAGCAGTGAAAATTAAACCACACTGAACTTAAACTCAACTTCAACTCTGGACTGACAGTTTTAATTGCAATTTACTAGAATTTCTATGTTAAGCTGCTTTGACATGATCTACATTGTAAAAGCACTATAGAAATAAAAATGGAATTAAAATTGTTCCATGTGTGTTTTAGGCCTTTGTGTGATTTTAACAAATGAAGCTTATGCATTCTTTGAGTAAGTATTGTTATTAAAAGAGTGACTGATTTCAAATCCTGCCTATACCAAACTTTGAACAGCTGTCTGTTCCACTTGTTTCACATGTGGTTTTAACATATGAAACTTATGTGGTTTATCAGGAAGTGTAGACCTCTCAAATGTGACAATATCCACATGCAGCTCTTGTATTTGCAATAAGTCAAAAGTGACTTCTTTTATTCATTAATTTGTTCATTTTCTTTCGTCTTAGTCCCTTTATTCATCAGGGGTGACCTAAGTAGAATGAACCACCAACTTATCCAGCATATTTTTTACACAGTGGATGCCCTTCCAATTGCAGCCCAGCACTGGGAAACATCCATACACGGCCACTTTAGTTAATTCAAGTCACCTTTAGCACATATCTTTGGACTGTGGGGGAAACAGAAGCACCCGGAAGACACCCACACAAACACAGGGAGAACATGCAAACTCCACACAGATATGCCAACTGACTTAGCCGGGACTCGGACCAGCTTTCTGGTTGTGAGGTAACCACTGAGCCACCGTGTCGCCAACTTCTTTCAAAACCTTTAAGAAATTGTAACAATTCCAAACTTCTGAAGAGCAGTGTGACTCACTTGTTTTTGCGATAAGTCAAAAGTGAATGTCTAGACGTCTCAAACATGACAATATGCAGCACTGAAGGTAAAGTGTCCCATCTGTCACCTGTCTAACGGAGAGGCAGAGACGAGGATAATCATCCCCTGACCAAGACGTTTTAAACTCCAGCAGGGAAGCAGGGAGGAGGATAAGGATTGTACTTTCAGTTTAAGAAGATTAACCGAGTAGAAGAGCTCGCTCTCCATCTGCAGTTTGCCTCGCACATCCAGTGATGTTATAATGACTAAATCATTGTTATCTTGATGTAAATCCTGCATCGATGACCCTATTGACAATAATGATTTCGTGGAGAAGAACAATTGATGGATTAGCCTGGCCTGGATAAGTGCTGAATTGGCTTCGTGGATGTTGAAACGCTTAACTAGGGGAAATGAAGACGCGACCCACAGGAAACACCTCCAATGCTGACTGGATGGGCTCCCTGTGCCCTGCCCTCACGTCAATGCCCCTCAAACACCTGGCGGTTCCTGGTGAGAGACCTTTTCTGCCCTTTGACATTTACCTCAAAAGAAATTCTGATTAGCCTGTAACAGTATAGAGAAATCCATTTGGATCAGTTTAATGTGAACAAATAAAGATGCCACTTAAAGATGCAGTCTGTTTTTAACACAATGTGTACACAATGAATATAATATGTGTTATTATAGACAATTTCTTCAAAACACCAAGAATGTTTTTTAATAATAAATAAAACAAATATTGATATACTTTTCTTTCTGTTTAAATATTTTTTAACCTGCCCCACATTATTTCCATTTTGATTCATTGACAATATTCATATGAATATTTTAATAACACTATCGTTGTTGTTTTTTTATGTACGTCATTATGTTTGTAAAACTACAGTCATGTTGTCAATATAACAGTGTACTCTGAAGAGGGGTTCTGATCTAAACTATGGCTATTTTGTTTATTATTTTGCTGTTTGTACTGTAATTTGTTGACTGATCATTTCAATGTGATACAGAAAGGAAAAGACAGCACTGCACAGCTCAAAAAACAAAACAAAAGTAGAAATGTGAACATGGGACTCTCTTTTGAGGTGCACTTTAATTAGAAAAAGTCAAGATTCACCTAGTTTCCCAGAGATGGGTTGCGGCTGGAAGGGCGTCCGCTGCATAAAAACGTGCTGGATAAGTCGGCAGTTCATTCCGCTGTGGCAACCCCGGATTAATAAAGGGACTAAGCCGACAAGAAAATGAATGAATGAAAGATTCACCTGGGGAAAAATTTACCCATTTTAGACAGATTTAGAAAAAAGGTCTAATGGAAATATGGGGAAATGCATTATGACAAAATATTATGACAGCTTGTTTAAGCATTTTGCATGTAAAGACTTATGCTCTGAATTAACGCCTTATTGTTGTGGCGGAGAGACTATTCAACAGAGACCAAAATAATTTATTTTAATCAACATGACAACAGACAATGTAGGAAACATTAGACAATTGCACATAATCAGTTGCATGGGTGCATTAAAGCATTTGCAACTGCTTTTCCGATATTTAAGTGACATGAGGATGTGAAGATTGAACAGGGAGTTTTGAAAATTTCAATTCTGATCTGAGAAATTGACCAAAGTGACTGAGAAAAACTGTAATATAATGTGTACAACTACAATATAAACATTTCTTAAAACATGAACAAAAAGAACTATCATTAAAACAAATTACATTTATATTTATGATTCTTTAGAATTCTCATAATTAATTATATAACTTGTTTAAATTAATTTTTATTTAATTTAATAAATCATGTTATCATTTTGTTTATAAAACGTGCACAAACACGGGCGGATGGACGGACGGACGGACGGACAGACTGATTGGCAGACAGACAGACAGACAGACAGACAGACAGACAGACAGACAGACAGACAGACAGACAGACAGATAGATAGATAGATAGATAGATAGATAGATGGATAGATGGATAGGTAGGCAGAAAAACAGACAGATATGTAATTAGTTTTAATATATTTTAATTTCTTACTGATTTTATTTTTACAACACGTTAAAGAAAATATTTTTGCTATTTTCTATCTTACAGTATTTTTAAGCTGTATTCTCTTCTGAAAAGAATTTAAAATTAAATAAAAATTAATTACATAATTTTTTCAGATTTGAAAATGACAAATGCCTGTTTCTTGTTTTTATTAGTGTTTTATGCGTTTTATTAGAGGAAGATCTTAAATGTTTAAACCTCTTCCTTTGATTTTATTCAAGAATTTGAGCACCTAATTATTAAATGCTGTGTATTGTAAAATGACCACCATCAAATAAACCTCTCTGTTAATAGTTAATATCAATAATAATCTCAACGATGGTCATATTGGAATGGATGGAAAATTGTTTAAAAAGACTAATGATATTGACCTGAATCTGGTTTTTAAAAATTTTTAAATGTTTTTTACTCTAGCGACAAAAAAACAAATAAGACTTACTCCTGAAGAAAAAATATTATAGGAATTAATCATATTAACCTCAACTGTAGATTTTAAAATATGTGTCATTTTTATCTGTTTTACATTTCAGGCTCTCATGATTCCTTTAGTTTTTGGGTGGACGAACAAGCTCCAGTTGGTCCAGACCAGAAAGCGTATGTCAAACACCTGGCTGCGATATTCCGTTTTCTGGCCAAGAAGGTGATGAAGAAGTGGTCCATGACCCAGAACCTGACCTTCAGGGAACAGCTTGAGGGAGGCATTCGCTATTTCGACCTGCGGGTGTCCTCTAAACCAGGAGAAGCAGGCCACGAGATATACTTCATACACGGCCTGTTTGGACACAAAGTACGCGACGGCCTTAATGACATAAACAATTTTCTCAACATACACAAGAAAGAGGTTGTTTTTTTAGACTTCAATCATCATTATGCAATGGGAGAGGAACACCATCGTTACCTAATCAAGATGTTGCAGGACGTGTTCGGTCACAAGCTCTGCAGGATCGATGTGGTGGAGGAGATCACTCTGAATTATCTGTGGGAAAATAGATACCAGGTGAGATCAAAACATCTGCTGGTAACATTAAACAAGCTTTTGTTTAAGAGATATTACCAAAATGAACACTACATAGAAAGTCAAGAGGCTAATATTCTAAATTGTGCAAAAGATCACAAAAACTTGAAAGGATTGTTCAGTAAAAATGTAAATTCTGTCTTTATTTATCCTCACTTCTGTTAAAGATATACTGAAGGATTTACTAAAAATGGGTAACACTTTATTTTGATGGTCCATTTGAGTATTAGTAGATATGCTTAATATCTGTTGATACTGCTCCTTCAACAGACATTTAACTAACTATGAGGAGCTTTGCAAGTACATCTCAACTTACAATAACCCCAACCCTAACCTAACAGTCTCCTTATAATCTAATGAGAATCAGTTGGCATGTACTGTAGATGCAATGTAACTTAAAGAGCCCATATTATACATGAAATAAGGTCATATCTTGGTTGTAAGGGTCTCCAACAACAGTCTAATATGCATGCAAGGTCAAAAAACACTTTCATGGTCTTATAATCTGCATTTATTTTTATCTAATTATCCCAGCGACTCCTGTATGAATCGTCCAGTGATTCATTTGTTCCCAAACCCCTCCTTAGCGCGGAGCTAATCTGCGCTGATTGGACCGATGACAGTCTGTCGTGATTGGTCGACTGCCTTCAGTCAGAGAGGGAAATGGCCAATAGCTAATCAGCAATTTAAAAAGTAATCACAGTTCATACACGCTCGATAGTGTAGGCGTGGACTTTAGCTGCCACACTATGGCGAGTGGATAGTGCCACGGATAACCGAACGAAGGAGACAGTCGTGTACTCGCCATACCACACACACACAAAAACACACACACACCTCCGGATGACAACGCTCCCGCTTCAGCCCGCACCCGCCAGGTTTTAGCCTGAGAACCCGCTCCGTTTTCTGCCCGCCGCGCCCGGTCACGCTAGAGCGGAGAACACAACCAAATATCACCCAGTATACAGTCCAGACAGCCAAGCTGTCTGTACACACACAGCACAAAGTACACAAAGCTCGTTCGTTCGTTCGTTCGCTCTCTCTCTCGCTCTCTCTCTCTCTCTCTCTCTCTCTCCCCGCGCCAGATTTCTGCGGCGCGGGAATAAATTTCCGAATAAATCGCGGGAGCAGAACTCTAGCATGGAGCTCCATAAACAAACAGCACGCGTCGCGTTTTTAACGTGACTTTGCACGCGATAAGATAATATATCCAGTTAACCTGATACAGTACACGCGGTTACAAGTAACAAATCACAACTAAATACATTTGCAAGCTAGAGTAAACGAGGCAACAACTTTAACCGCACGTACTTACACTTGAGAAATGTAGGAAGAAACCCATCCTGACGTCCATCAGTTACTCTTTACTGATCCTTCCTTTAACAAACTCAGATGAAGTATTCTTTGTAGCATGTAGCTTCCAGAAGTTTCCAACTGCTTGGTTATAATGCTGATGTTTCATCTTTGGGTAGAGACTCAATATATCCATCTGCAGTGTGACTTCAATCGACCGGCATGTTTGTGTGCGTGTGTTTGTGGGTGTGCGTGTGTTTGTGGGTGTGTGTGTGTGTGTGTCTGGGTTACTGCGTCAGAGGGCGGGGCCTCAGGTTTGAAATCTCCCGGGTTTGCGCGTGCACGTGAAAAACTTTGTTTCGTTCGTACGTCATGGCGAAACACCTAATGAGTCGGTATCAAGGCGACTCGTTTGAAGCACTATGATTCGACTCTTTTATAGATGAATCAACAGTTTTAAACACTGTATTCTTACAGATTTAAGCCTTAGCTGGATACTTCACTTCACTTAGAGCTGTGTTACACACTACATGGAGGGGAATTTTCAAAAACCCATAATATGGGCTCTTTAAATTCAACAAACGGACCATCAAAATAAAGTGTGACCAAAGAATGTTGGAAAGCGGTAAACATTGATATCCATAGTATTGTTTTTCCGGCTATGGAAGACAATGGTTACCGGCTTCCAACATTCTTTAAAATACTTTCTTTTGTCTTCAACAAAAAAAAAACTAGTTTTGAAGAAGTGACGGGTGAATAAATTATGACATTTTTTTAATTTTGGGTGAACTAATATCATATATTAATTGAGGCTAATGTAAAAAAAGAAAACATACCTACAAATTTAGATGTAAACTCATTGCTTTCAATACATGTTCAGGTGTAACAAAAACACTTCATGTAAAAGTCAAGATGCACATATAATCCTAAAATGTGCATAACAATCATATGCACTCAATTGAGGTGGATACATTTTTCATATAATAAGAAACTTTGCCAACCAATTGAGATCACATTTCCATCTAATCTATGAAAAAAGAGTGCATGAAAATTTTAAAATGTAAGGTAGAAAGGTCAAAAAATAAACAAATAAAAGATGCGGGTCATGTTTTTAAATGATAGGAAAATAATAAAAAAAACTTTTCAGTAAATTGAAAGGAAATGTTTAATGAGGAGGGAAAAAACATCCTGGAATTGGATTTTTGTTATTCCCAAATTCCTGAATCAGGTGTAGCGACCTTTTTTTATTAGTTCAAACACATGGTTCACAAATGTGACATTAAATCATTTTTATATTTTAAAATATGTTATATTAATAATAGATTATTAAAATAAGTTTTTGCAATGTTGGGTGAAAAACATTAGGCTCTAATTATGGCTTTACGTGGATTTAAGGGCCAGATTGACAGCTTGTTTAAACATCTTTTTGATCTGAAAACTGTATTGGTATTCACTAAATGTGCGGCAAACAATAGCCCTGAAAAGGCATGGACACAGCATTTTTTGCACCTGACCCTAACATTTATCATTTCAGGAGTTTATAAATATTTAATGACAATAAAAAGCAGCAAAATCACACCATGGTTGTCATTGGTAAATGTCTTTTTTTTTCTTTCATGATATTCATTCACTGCAAAAAATGCTTTTCTTACTTAGATTTTTTTTGTCTTGTTTCTAGTCCAAATATCTACAAATTCTTAAATCAAGACCAGCAAAACATATGGTCTTTTTTAAAGAAATAATATGCCAAAATGAAGTGAGTTTTTCCTCAAATCAAAATAAATAATCTGCCAATGCAAGCAAAATAATCTCATCACAAATCGAAAAACAAGATTATTTTGCTTAGCCCATTGGCAGAGTATTTTGCTTGATTTGAAAAAAAAATCACTTCATTTTGGCCTTTTTTTTCTTAAAACAAGACAATATATTTTGCTTGTCTAGAAAATGCTTCCTGATTTAAGAACTTTTAGATATTTGGACTAGAAACAAGACAAAAAATCTAAGTAAGAAAAGCATTTTTGCAACGTTCTAAAGGGTGAGAAAATAGCTACAGTGGCTTCCATTTAAAGCAACTTCCATTTTTTTTATTATTGACACTTTAGGTCAGCTTTTTGGGAGTGACTATTTTGGTATTGTCCTGTGTTTGGAAGTGAAATTATTATTTTTTTTTGTGTGCATCAAGGAATGTATTCACTAATTAAGTTGCTGTCTGAGTTTATTTGCATATATACTGTATTTATATTAAATCATCCACCTCAACAGAGCATATTCTTTTTTATAAAGGTTTTTATGTGCATGTTGTCATTTCCATCCAACATTTGTTTTGATTAATTTGCCTAAAATGGAAACATACTCAATCTTAAATGTTGTTTTCAGCATTCTAAAATTATGAAAAGTATGTCAATAAATGTATGTGGTTAAATGACCTTAAATGACAGAACGCGGCAGGACACACATCAAGAATGCAAGCTATGGCAGATTTGCATACCTAGAAAAAAGCCTAGAAAAACTGGGGATTTCCCCAGTTGCAGAATACAAATTTCTATTGATTACTTGGGCTTTTAACAGTTGCTTGAATACATTGACACAAATGTGACAGTTTTATTGTAAAAGTAATATTTATTTTTTTATACTTTACTTTTTAAACTTTGGATATAAATGTTGCTAATGAGGGCTTTACAAAAGGTTAAAAATCATGAATAATTGTTTAGGAAAAGCACTAAAATTGCATAATAATGTTTGCAATTTGCATGTTTTTTTTTTTTTTTTGCTTAGGTCATTTATTATGTAGGAAAATAGAGTTACAAAGGTTTCCACGGTTGCAGCAATTTGATTTCAGTGTAAAATACAGCATGTAAACAAACAACCATAAATATTTCTGTTAAACTAGTACTGTCCGTTTTAGGAAATGGAAAAAAACTGGGACTTTTTAAATTTTTCCAGCTTTAAAACTGAACTGTGAATGCGTCAGTATTTATATGATGATCAGTCAAACTGAAACTAACCTACATTAACATTTGACAAAATCTGGAAAATATATATTTTTCCCCATAACTGATTTAAATGCCAGATCTGTCTCTCGAAAGCTATTTCTGGTATCAATCAGAATTTTAAAAAAGTGCAAATCTTTGACTTGCTTGATATCGATGAGCTTTTAGATTTGAACATTCTATAAGTATAGAATAATGTGTGCATTTAAACAGTATTTACATCAAGAGATATAAAAAAGCTGACCTTTTAATGTTGGTTTACATTTTATTGAATATATTAATTAAACTAGAGGTAGAGTTGACTTGTGTCTGACTGTGCTGTCGACTCTTTGTGTGTCAGTGGTGTGTTGGAGCAGAGGTCAGCTATTCCTGTGATAGACTGACCCTAATCACCACAGGATTAATGTCTCACTTTACACTCTGATGGAAACAGACAGGTGTACAAATGCCAAAAACTGGACACAACATGCCTTAGAAACACTCTATTTGTAAACACCTTCGAGAAGTCTTAAGGAATATACAGTGACTCCCCAAAATTATTCATAACCTTTGCAACCTCTGACTTAAAGTTACTGTTATTCAACCAGCAAGATTTTATTGATTTATTTATTTATTTTTATTATTTATCTTTTTTATTTTTTTATTGATTTATTTATTGATTTATTTACTGGAAATGACACATGCTTTTCCTAAAAATGGTAATAAGATGATGTACAAAAGGTATCTTTGTAGGAACAAAAAAGATTCTTATTTACATGTGAAAAAAAAACTTGATGTCAGAATTTGTTGGGATATCAATAATTTAGGCCTTGACAGTATGTATGAAACATACAAACCAACATGGTATTAAGTAGCGGAAAAGGTGGTGACCAGACTCTGAAATATTTTGCTCAGGTTTAAGATATTCAGTTCAGTATGCTCAAAGAAGATTATAACATTTAAAAAAAAAACTGTCAAAAATATGATTTTTTAGCATAAAAAAGTTAGTCAAAAGGTTTAAAATTCTAAGAGGTGATCAACAAACAAATAACAAACACTCTTAAGCCTGTCATCTTGTGTCATATCAAAGAGAATATTAACTCATAAAGGTTTGGAGCCACTTTAGAGTGATTAAATGGTGAGATTTGTATCTTTTGGTGAACTATCTCTTTAAAGACATGAGCTGCAAAGCATCATTGTCATCCATCAGCTTTAACTTTTAAAGGAACACGCCACTTTATTTATTTATTTTTTTTTGGGGGGGGGGCTCCTTTTACACCTCAAGTCACCTATAGAGTTAAACAGTTGCGTTTTACCATTTATGATACACTGAAAAAAATGGTTCATTGCAAATTGTTGCAAACAATTTTAATAAGCTGGATTTAAATAAATTAAGTTGAACATTGCTGGGACCTATTTTATTATTGTTTGTCTCATTTTTTTGGCATCTACAGCAGCAATCCATCTAATCCATCTATTATTTGGGCAGTATACTCAAGAGTTTTTGAGATCTTCTTTAACTGGAAGAGTCTCAGTTTACCCCCCTTAGTGAACAAACAGCAGTACATCATATTTAGATGTTTTATATTTCTAAATTTCATCTGAATTTGCTCCTGCAGCACTGATGATGTTCTGAAGATATTATTCCATCTCATTTCTTAAGCAAAGATGCTGATGCCGAATTGTACACTATACTGCCATTATATATGACGGGTCTTACATTGCGCAGTACAATATTTTTAATGATTGTTGACTGGCTCTCAAATATATCCATATTTGTCTGTTATTTTCTTTATGTGTGTTGCATAATTTCCTTCCATACTTCAAGCATTGACCAATTTCTTAACAAACTTTCTGTTCTGATCTCATGCTTAGGCAAATATCTGAGAAAGCACCAATCAAAGGCCGCATTTTATGATGTCATCATGTAGACTTCAGACAAAGTATTACACAGTATTTTAAAAATACAAAACTCTAAAATATTTTGATACAAAATATTAACCCATATTCATAAACCCTATCAAATACAAAATACTATTTTGTATTTAATATATGTATCTGAAATACTAAAATATCACTGAGAATGAGAATATAGTTCCTAGCCATATCAGCCTAGAAAATAGCAACTTTTCATTTTCTTTCAGACTTTGTATGGTGTAACTACAGAACAGTCGAGCTTTAAATAGGAAAATTATATTTTGGGATTTTTTTTTGTGATATGCTAATGGTCTAATCTGATTCAATGATCTATGCTAAGCTAAGCTAATATTCCTCCAGCCAGACCCGGAGATCAGCTGAATGGATTTAAAAATGTATAAAACTCAACTATTTAACTCAATTATAAAAAGGAGTTTTTGTGTTTGGGTTCATAGGTACTGGTGTTCTACCATCATCCGTCTGCTGAGGGCTGTCCTGTGATGTGGCCTGGTAGTAAAATTCCTGCACCGTGGGCCAATACTACAGACACCACCAAACTCATCCAGTTCCTGGAGACCACGCTGGGTGAAAGAGCCAAATACGGCAGCTTTCATGTGTCGCAGGCTATTCTAACCCCACGTGTCAAAACCATCGCCAGGGGCCTGGTACAGGGTCTGAGGAACTACCTGGTGGAGAGGTAAATATGAATCAGTACAACTAGGGTATACACATTACCAGTAAAAGTAGGTTACTGTAAAAGTAGGCTAATCAGTATACACATTACCAGTCAAATGTTTTAAAACAGTACTATTTTGTAATGTTTTTTTTTTTATGTTTTCTTTAAATGAAGTCACTTTTGCTCACCAAGCCTGCATTTATTTGATCCAAAATACAGCAAAACTATTTAAAATAACGGTTTTCTATTTGAATATATTGTAAAGTCCAATTTATTTCTGCGATTTCAAAGCTGAACTGTTTACATCAATACTCCAGTCACATAATCCTTCGGTAATTATTATAATATTCATATTTGATGCTCAAAAACTTTTTTTGTTATTTAAAAACAGCTGAGCAGTTTTTTTTTCAGCTTTTTTTCAAACAGAAAGTTCCTTCAGAACGGAATTGATATGAAGTAGAAATCTTTTGTGACAATATAAATGTCTTTAGCAACACTTTTGATAATTTATTCATTTATACTTTATTTTACTAAGATATTAAAAAAATCTGTATTTTTTAGATATACAGGCACCATGCTTTTGAATGGAATTAATTTACTCACTTGTTAATAACTATTGATAATAATAATAGTAGTAATAATAGTAATAATAATAATAATACTAATAAATAATAATTATTATTTCATACACAGCAAACCAGTAAATTAGAATGATTTCTTAAGGATTATGTGATAACTTTTGACCAGTAGTGTGTACAGAAAGCAAAATCATGTACCCTCATGTGAAATTTTCTACGTTTAATACCTAATTGGGGTTTGATTGAGATTATTCCAACACATTTAGTAACATAATAGCTTTAATAACTAATTTCTAATAACCTATTTCTTTTGTCTTTGTCATGATGACACTACATAATATTTAGGTTATATTGTAACTAGTATTCAGCTTAAAGACCAGTTTAAAGGCTTAGGTTAATTCGTTTAACTATGGAAGTAAGGTTAATTTGTGGTAAGTCACTGAACAACATTGGCTTATTCTATAGCCAATTAAAATAAAATGATCAAAGAGGCTAATAATATTGAGCATACAAACTATTTTTAAAAATGAAAATTTATATATATTAAAATATATAATATGAAATGCTGTTACAATTTCCTTGCTCTGGAGTTTAAACAGCACTTTTAACAATATTTACAATTTTACAGGAGGGCTGATTTATTTATTTTTATTTTTTTTTCTTTAACTGAATATTCCAGCAGTCTGTACTGTACTGGTCATTTTTGTTGTAGTAATTTTAAAACCCTCCACTAGGTGGCATGCTCACCATCACTGCACATTTGAAATGCAGAGTCTCAGGATCAGACAGAGAAACACTTGTTAAACAAACACAACCTATAATCACACTACAGGATGAAATGATGTCCCATAACCTACTAACTGGACTCCTTTTAAACAAGGCCTCTCATAAAATTCGCAAACACCTCTAAATTCAGTGCTTACTTTTAATCTACCGGTTTATGCAAAAATAAAGCATGCACAGTCTAGAAAATATATATTGAAGTGTCATATTTAGTGGCACATATATTCATCATCTCAGAAGTGTGGAGCCATGTGCTGTGTTTAAGCGGACATCCTTATGAGACGGCTGTCTCGGAGGAAGCTGGATAAATCTGCCTGAGTGTGGAAGTTGGATTGTTTATTATTCCAGGATAAACACAGTCTGAGCTTCCCATTTCCTGGTTTTGTCCGGGCCGCTGCTGCAAATGACTGCTCTGTTTATTTCTATTCAAAGTTGACTCGGCTGGCCTGAAATAAAGCTAACATACTTATTGCTAATATGTTAACAGCTCCCTGTAGACAGCTTTTGAGGTTTTATTTTGATATGTATGTGTATTTATGCAGCTCTATACAAAATACACGACTATTCAAAATGATGTGCTGCAATATTTTTAAAGGCAAGTCACAAGAAAGAAAAATAGGGTTCAAAATAACATTAAAATGATCACAATTATTTCCCCAGTTGTTTGATTGCAATAAGAACTGCAAATTAGTTTTCTAAAATTGTTTAAATGACAAGTTTTCTGTTATGTTTTAGCAAATACACTCTAATTCGAACATTGTACAGTCAAGTTTGAAAGAACATTACATAGTCAAGTTTAAAAGGATTGTTTTTATGAACCCCAAAACCTCAAAACTGTCATCTGCATTGCAAAAAGGATTATAACAATAAAAAAAATTGCATTTTTGTACTGCCTCATCTTAAATGTCTCTAATGCTCACCAGGGCTGCATTTATTTGATCATAATTAAAGCAAAATCAGCAATATTCTAAATTTTTTTATAGATTTTGCCATTCTGAGTGTGCTACAGACCATCTGCAGCACAAGGATAAAGAATGAGCAATGGATTTGCTATTTAAACAACATAGCGCAAAGCGCGAAAATAGCGCTGGTCTGAAAATAGCAACAAATTGCATCAAACAGGTCTTGCGGTTTATTGTGCAGGGTGTATGATAGGGCACCATATCCTATATTATTATAAATAAATAAATAACATTGTGTATTTATGAAGTGAGTGGGCTTAACAAACCACCAGTAGAAACACTCTTAACTATAATTAGCACTGCTTGTGTGTACTGCCTTTTCTTGTTGAGTCATTGAATGCCTCCTAAATTGTAAGTTGCTTTGGACAAAAGTGTCTGCTAAATCAGGGGTTCTTAAACATTTCAGCCTATATGACCCTCAAAATAATAATTCCAGTGACCCCCAATATCCTCTGAGGTGGTTATAAATATATAAACCATGCATGCAATAGCGCATGACCTTCCTCCAAATTCAGTCATGGTCTTTATGTTTAATGTATGTGAGTGTCGTAAAGCTGTTAGAAAGTTTAACCTGTTGTCATAAAGTCAATTTGATGCATCTGACTTTAATATAACTATTATTTTTATATTCTATATGTTATGGATAAAATATGGCAATTATAATGCTGTAGAATTCTAATACCCCACCATTGTCCTGTGACTAAATGTAAAATATCTTAAAGGTCCAGCTTTCTATATTTAAATATATTTTACCATTATTAAAATATATTTTTTAAATATTTTACAACTTTTACCAGTGAAATAGGTTAATATATATTCCCAAAATGGCAACCTGAATCCTCAGTGTCACAAGATCCTCCGGCAATCAATCTAACATGTTGATTTGATGCTCAAGAGAACTTTACATCCTATAGTCAATGTTTAAAACTGCTGAATATTTTTCAGGAAGTTAATTTCTGATGACTAGATAGCTTAAAAGAAGTATTTTTTATAAAATATGCACTACCGAGCGTTTCTGTTGTTTCTGTTTCAGGAACCTTCCGACCATAATGACATGGGTTGAAGCACAGAAGCCTGGCAAAGATGGAGTCAATATCATTACGTCAGACTTTGTAGAACTTGTGGACTTTGCAAACACCGTCATCAAGTTAAACACCCTCCTCATTAAGGATCGGGATACCAAATGACCATTTTGGAGACCACCACGAAAAACTAAAGGCATGCTTACCATGAATCACATGGAATTACATATGAGCTCAACACTTTTATATTTAAGTGCCATCAGCCTTTGGAACTTAGAAGTTTCTTTATTTATACACAGGTTTTCACCTACATTGTGTATTTGTTTATAGTTTTAGCAGATTTGAATAAATATTTTGAAAACATAGAACATGTTGTGTGTATATAATAGTATCAGAGTAATATGAACAGGGTCATTGAGCTTTAATTCACATAGTAATAAGGAAAGTTGCTCATATTTGAAATTGATTCAACAATGGTTGATGTACACACATGATGTGCCCTCATTTTATGGTCTTTATTTGTGTTTTTCTAGGGGAAGTATGCGAGTCAGTCGCAGCAGAAATCTCTATTTTGAAGTTTTGTTTTTTTGCTTATATTTTCTTAGAAATGTAGCAATAAAATAAAAAATGCCTGGATGGATGATAATTTATTATTCAATTACTGCATCATTAAAGGATGTGCTTTAACAATTAATGAAAAATGTATAGTAAAACAACAAACTTAAAAACTGAATTTTGTCTTTGCGTTTTTAAAAGTTTTGTATACTGACGACAACACTGTTGAAATGACCCGGTAACACTAATCCAAGAAAACAACTAAACATGCTGTAATACACATGCCAAGCCAATAGATGGCAATGATATTTTGTAAAGAATCACATCACACCTATACAAATACCGTCCTGTAGTGCTTTTTGGTTGTCAAGTTCTACATTTTTAATGTTAATTTTATTAGCGCACGTTGTTATTATTTAGTTGAACACTTGGGGCTCTATTTTGACGGTCCATGCGCAAAGCGCAAAACGCAGGGCGCAAACCCTTTCAGGACGTGTCAGAATGCATTTTTGCTAATATAAGAATGGAAATATCCGCTTTGCGCCGTGGCGCATGGTCTAAAAGGGTTGAGTTTATTTTCTTAATGAGTTATAGGTGTGTTTTGATAATAAACCAATCACAGTCTACTTTTACTTTTAGTTCGCTATGAGGGAATGATGCGCTAAAAGAAACTCCATCCCCTACTCAATATTTTGTGTTAATTAACATAAAGTACATAAAATACACTGAAAATAAAAGTCTTCAGTTTCACACAAACATTAATGTCATCTTTTCAAAAATTCATGTTTTTTTTAAATGTACTCAAAGACAATATAGTTTCTAAATTATACCGTAAAAAAATATCTGTTAACTAACAGTTTCTGTGGTCAGTGTTTTCTGTTCATTTACAGTAATGAATTGCATTATGGGACCTTGATCTTTGCTCTGTTGAGTTTTGATATTTTTATAGTATAAGAAATAATATATAAAGAATTAAGTCTGTGAAAAAACAGAAATGTACAAGCAGTTAATTACAAGGTTTATGTACCATAATATACAACACCAACCCAGACAATATATCACTTTAAACTATTAAAAATGGTAATAAAAGTCACTTTTTAAACCTTTCAAGATTAAAAGTTGTTGGAAGAAAAATCAAGGTCCTGTAATGTAATTTAGTTGAAGTCAGAATTATTAGCCTCCCTGTTTATTTTTTCCCCAATTTCTGTTTAACAGAGAGATTTTTTCAACACATTTCTAAACATAATAGTTTTAATAACCCATTTGTAATAACTGATTTATTTTGTCTTTGTCATGATGACAATAAATAATATTTTATTAGATATTTTTCAAGACACTTTTATGCAGCTTAAAGTGACATTTAAAGGTTAAACTAGGTTAATTAGGCAGGCAGGTTAGGGTAACTAGGCAAGTTATTGTACAACGATGGTTTGTTCTGTAGACTATCGAAAAAAAACTGTTTAAAGGGACTAAAATATTGACCTTAAAATGTTTTTTAAGATTAAAAACTGCTTTTATTCATAGCCGAAATAAAACAACTAAAACTTTCTCCAGAAGAAAAAAACATTATTAGACATACAATGAAAATGTAATTTTTCTGTTAAACATCATTTGTTAAATATTTAAAAAAGGAAAAAAAAATCAAAAGGGGGCTAATAATTCTGACTTCAACTGCACACTCTCAGAAATAAAGGTATGCGAGCTGTCACTGGGGTGCTACCTTTTCAAAAGTTACAAATTTGTACCTAAAAGGTCCATATTAATGCTTCAAGGATATATTATACCTAAAATGTACAAAAGTGTTCCTCTTAAATTTTTTAGGTACTAATATATACTTTTGAGGTACCAATATGGATCCTTTTAGTACAAATGTGTACCTTCTGCAAAGGTAACACCCCAGTGACAGCTGCCGTACCTTTATTTCTGAGAGTGTATATAAGAATCAGCTTTAATCATTTTCTGCAACTGTTTTCCTAAATTTCAGCTCTTCAGTATTTAAAAAATAATCTTACCAGTCCTCACAGAAACAACGTGACCATCTTCACATCAAGCAGAGAGCAAGAGGTTCCGCCACACCTCCATTTCCAGTGACCATGTCCACATTCCAGTCGTTGTTTCTGGTCTCTGGGATGAGAAAGCCATCAGATAATGATCAGGACCATGTGAACGAGTCCACACACAACATTTGAATCCAATGAAGGAACAATTATGTGCTCAAAGCGTGGAGGTATTTAGGAAGAAAGTACGAGAGACAGATCTAATCTGCACAGCTGCTCTGGGCTTTATAGTTTTAGGTTTTGCTCAGCACCACTATCACTAAAGGAATGTTTAACTTCGGTTTATTTTGGAAGGGGATATAGATAGTGAATTTCAGGTGAGAAATCTTAGTTGCTTAGTGATCAATGACCTAAAATCATCTTATATTCTAACATTTCTATCTTTTATTATTTTTAAGGTGACTAAATTAGCTTTCCACTAATATGGTTTGTTATGATAGGACAATATTTGAGAATCTGAAATCTGAGGGTTAAATAGAACTAGAGAGAAAATCATTAATAAAGCTGTCCAAATAAAGTTTTAAGCAATATATATTTATTTATTTATTATTTATTTTAAAAAATACAATTCATTCTCGACTTTTCCCAAAATAAATATCGTACAAATTCTGACTGTTTTTGTCATCCAGGGTCACATATAGTATGGTTTTGATAAAGTATAATAAGAGGCTTTTTTTTTTTTTTTTTTTTTGCCTATTTTGTTAGGGAACACCAAAGCTATTCAAAACATATTGGGATATTGTTATTTCCATATGTGAACACAGTTAACTTTTCAAAAAAACAACCATAAATACCATATAAACAGTACCATATTAGTAATTTGACATGCAATTCCAAGCCTTCAAAAACATCTTGCAAAATATTTAGAAGCTTCTGGCCAGCTGCAATTTTACACTCTGCCATTCTTCGTTTCTTTCCATGAAAGTGAGCACCAGTGGTCTTTTTAAGACCTTAACAAACAAAATTCCTTCTCTCCATCCTCTCTTTCACACTCTGGGCTCTCCCTTTCTTCACTCCCCCTCTTTACTTCATTCCAGATCATGAAAGAATGTCAGGAGTTGTTTTTTCATGTCGGCAGCAATGCAGTGACTTAAATAAAGGGACACAAACTACAGTGTAATTACGCACTGCTGTGGCCTTGTGGGAAAGGACTGCTTGTGGACATCTTCCAATGTTTTCTCTAACTCGCTTAACACTCATATATCTTCTGTTTGCTGAGGGTTCTGCTGGGTTCTCCAGGTCTCCAGGGTGAAGAAAAGGGACAATTATGTGTCATTTGAAGATTAGTAATGAGAGATAACTCATTACAGAGCAGGTGACTGAGCAAATGTCAGGTTCTTCCCTATAAATGAAAGACATTATTTTAGTCTATAGATATTTTTATGCATACAGTCAAAATATACTTGATTTTATGGAGGTACAAAAAGATGACTGACACATGCATAGTAAAGATTCATAGGAGGATGTGGGTTTTTTCTTTTCAAAAGTTATAAGCTGAATTGCACAAGTCTATTTTATAATATTCAATTAAAAGGTTTTGGAAAAAGCCCTTACATACACAGGTCCATAGAATCTCTCTCATCAAATAAGTGATCAAAAATGGACAGAAGAGATGGATTTATACACAGTGACGTAAAGTAACAAATTACAAATACTCAAATTACTGTAATTGTGTAGTTTTTCTCTGAAATGTACAATTTATTAGTTTTAAATATGTCTTCTCTTACTTTCCCGTGAGTACATTTTTAGTGCTATATCAATACTTTTACTCCACAAATTTCCTTCAACCTGGAGACACTATTTTCTTCTGTCAATGAGGGTTAGAGAAGTCAGTCCTGTGATTCCTGTCCAACTAAGTCCAACTAAAGATTTAGATGCATGTCACTGATGAGAAGATGACAGATGTTTATGATGAGCGAAATGGCCTTGAACACCCAGCAGGCACAAGACGTCGACAAGATGTCAGATTGACATTGTATACTAACGTCATGGGGATGCTCCATTTTGTTTGGAAATTAAAATCGGGTTGACATCAGAATCCAATGTCAGGTCGATGTCAATGTCCAACAGCCAACCTAAAATCAACCAAATATTAACGTCTAATGATGTTCCAGCGTGATGTTGTGTTGTCATTACCACTATGATCCCTATCAGACATTGGATTTTGGTTGCCATACCTGATGAATAAATGTCAGTATTTGACGTCAGTATGACGTTGGTTTAAGATGTTGGCTGCATGTACGATTTTGGTCAAATTCTAACCTAAAATCAACCAATTATCAACCTTATTTGACATTGTTATTGGATATCAAAATAACATTGTCTTTAGACACTGGCTAGACATTGAATTTTGGTCACCCGACAACACAACCTAACTCTAACCCAAACGTCTTATGAGATTGTGTGCCTGCTGGGCAATATCTAAATGCAGTACAAAATGTAACCTTTATACACATCCACAAATGACATGTAAATGCATCAGCATACTCTTAAGTACTTTCGAAAGGTCTTTTTTCTCATACATTGAGTAATATTCACAACAGATACTTTTACTCTACTTGCGTTACATTTTTAGGCAAGTAGTGGTACTTTTACTTTAGTATGATTTTTCAGTACTCTTTCCACCACTGTTTATACACTTAGTGTAAATATAAATATGTGTCCCTCATCTACTTGCGATACAATTAGTCAACAAATATCTTTAAAGCCAGGCTTTGAGAAATGCTGAGAAAATCATATTTAAACTTGAGTTTTGATATATTTACAGTAGGAAATTTACAGAATATTGTTATAAAAACATGCAACTTAATATTTTTATGAGTTTGACATGAAAGCCAAAGTGAACATTTTTACCCATAAAATGCATATTTGGCACACAAAAAAATAATAGTTGTACATTTTTGTTTCAGGGTTACATATTGATCATGTTTTAAAAATATATATATACTGTACTGTGTGTGCACGAGTCCTGTGAAATTTGCATTATACACACTGAATATGGGAAAAAGCCTTTAAAGAAACCAACATAAAGATTGACTATGTCAATGTGTCAGATATCACCAACAGCCAATGAAATCTCTGTTATTGAGACTATATTTGCATATATGATGCAATTGTACACTGGTATTGATAAACAAACATGAGACAACATGATTTTTGCTGCTTGTTCAAACTACTGATTTATAATAAGCTGAATCAACACAAAACTTGTTTTTTTGGGGACAATTTAATCGTTTTATGTTCAATCCACTTAAATTTGTAAAAACAATTGTGTTGGGACAACATAAAGGAATTGTGTGAAAGTCAGCATTTTTACAGTGTAATTACTCATTAAGAATATTTGTTATTTTGGCATGTGAGTAATCAAAATTTGCATTATGATTAACTTTTTTAATCAATCATGTATTTTAAGACTATTGGCCATACTATTTTACCCTTAAAAGTAAAAATCGAAATATTACAGAAATTATATATTGAGCGTTTACCTGTTTGTTTAGCAAACGCCATTCATCTTATTTCTGAGATAAAGAAAACTGGGTTAGCGTGCGCCGGAACATCCTGTTTACCAAAAGATTTCAGCGACACATGATCACTAATCACAAACTGATGAAGGGTGTGAGTGGTGGAGGAGGAGAGTAAGAATTTATTACAGAAATTGTAAACTGTGTTTGTTAATTAAAAACAAATAGTGTTACAGTGAATATTCTGAGCAGAGAGCTTAACCTTTTGAAAATGAAGCATGCTTTATTTGATCATATCTTATCTATTTCAGGGTATTTGGACAAGAAAACTCACCACATGCATTGCAGCCAGGTTAAGGATGTGGGTGAGGAATGATGCAGTCAGAAAAATAAATAATGTTGATCAAGACTAGAAGCAATAAAGAAGGAATTAGTGAGTAGAAATGAACAATAAATGCACCCAATAAACTGGCATCATAAGATTAGCACAAATCTATAAATCTTTAAAAATTAGTTATCGTTATGCAAGGGTCAGAAATAAAAACAGATCATTAAAAGCATCAAAACTACAGTTTAATTCATTTCCCCCATACATTAGTGTGTCCTGTTTAATTGTATATATAAAATGTAATTAATTAACCTTAGTTTACAAAACAAAAACAAACAAAGGTTTCAGACATGCTTAGATTAATTTGTTTGATGACATAATAAATAATTCAAATTACTTTACTGCAGCCCAAAAATACTAATTAAATCATTTAAAATGTGTATGCTATCCGTCAGTCCACTTAAAGTAGATTTTACTCATTTCTCAGCAAGAAGCTTTATAATAACAGTGACAATTAATAATGTCAATCAAATTTGTCACAAAATAAACCGTTAAAAATAAAAAAAATGCATTTGTATTAAGAATACGCTGAGGATCATGTGACACCTTTTAAATTGCTGCTTTGGTGAATGTCTTGACTTGTGCGCATCGAACTGTCAGTGCTAGTTGAGGTGCACGCGCCCCGGTCTCCAGAACGCATGCTCAGATCACCACCGCACGTTCTGGTTCCAGCTGTTGCGCATTCCACAGCACAGCGGAGCCGCCGCTGGCCAAGAGCGACAGCAGTCAGGACAGCGCCTTTAAAGTCACCAAAGAGCCACTGCTGGACTTGTTTAATCACTCTGCGAACTCATTTTTTGGATCATATTGTTTCGCTAGTTTTATTTTTAAAACTTTCGGCGAAGAGGTGGAGTTTATATCTGAGGTATTTTCTCTCAGTGATTTGGAAGCGCAGAGTATATTTGGAGAAGAGCGCAACGCATCTTCAATAAGTGTGTTTGTTTGGAACAGCCATAGGATATGACAGACATCGTTTCAGCAATGGTAAGTTTACTTTTTTCCTTTTATTAGTCATTTGATTAATCTGCAAATATAAACCCCGAAGTAAACATTTAATTAATCAAATTCAGTAACTCAAATTAAGCATGGAGTCCCCGGAAATAAATTTCTTGAAAAATTGGTTGTTATTTTTTAAGTATATATCCTGTATATATGTTACTAACTTTATTGTATATGTGTAATGGTATATTATCACGATAATGATGGTGGTAATGAATTCTTCTGTCTGGTGCGGATCGGTAATGACACCTAAAATAAATAGGCTATATTTCTATAAAGTGAATGTTAAAAAAATAAAAAATAAAAAAGACGTCTTTCTGCTGTCCCAGCTGTGGATTTTTTTTTTATCTAAGTTTTATTTCCATCACAGCAAATATGAACTCTCATAAAACTTAACCAAGTGCTTGCTGTAATTATACAGCTGTATTGAATTTGAATTGCAGTCAATAACTGTAAATATAAATACTGAATAAATTTAAAATATGATCTTTTTTGAGTGTCCCTCACTGAACAACCACTCAATACCGGTTTCCTTTTATAGTGGGTAAATAAACTGATAAATTGGACTGCTAGTGTTTATTTATTTATTTTGGCTGCAGTCACCTTAACTGACCCAAAATGAAAATTTACTGTTAATTCACTCATTCTCAGGCTATCCTGGATGTAAGAGATCATTTTTCCCCAATAGAACAACATTTAAAAGATTTTTAACAGAAACTGTGGTCTTTGGTGATTCATAAAATGCAAGCCAATGGCTACCAGCAATTTGTGGTGCCAAAAAGACATGACACAGTGGCGCAGTGAGTAGCACTGTCACCTCACAGCAAGAGGGCTGGTTCAAGTCTTGGCTAACCCAGTTGGCATTTCTGTGTGGAGTTTGAACGTACTCCCCGTGCTCACGTGGGTTTCCTCCAGGTGCTCCAGTTTCCCCCACAGTTCAAACTCATTCGCTATAAATTGAATAAACTAAATTGGCCGTTGTGTTATAAGTCTGAATGAGGTTGGGTTGGAGCTGGAAGGTCATCTGCTGTGTAAAACAAATGCTGGATAAGTTGGTGGTTCATTCTGCTGTGGCAAACCCTGATGAATTGCTCTTCAGTGTTTGGACTTTCAGTAATGACTTCAAACCACACTGAACTGAGCTAAACTGAACTGAACTTAAACACTAAAAAACTGAACTACCCTGATCCAGTTACTATGACCATTTATGTGAAGCTGCTTTGACACAATCTACATTGTAAAAGCGCTATACAAATAAAGCTGAATTGAATTGAATTGAATTAATGGACTGAGCTGAAGGAAAATGAATAAACTTTAATAAAAATCACCTGAACACATAATGTAATGATATACTGCATTATTGAATCTGATTTGCAGTCTTACATAAAATAACTAAATATAATATAATAAATATAAATAGCAAAAAATAGAAAATATGATCTTTTTTGAATGTCTCTACAACCCCTCAATACCTGTTTGCTTATATAGCGGATAAATAAACTGATAATTTGGACTGCTATAGTGTTTTTTCATTTACTGACCCGAAATGAAAATTTGCTGTTAATTTACTCATTTTCAGGCCATCCTGTCAGTAGGAGACAGTTTTTCTCCACATCTAGAAGATTTTTAACAGAAACTGTGGTCTTTGGTGATTCATTGAATGCAAGCCCATGGCTACCAGAAATTTGTGGCGCCAAAAAGACGTATATTGGCAAAACAAAAGTAATACCTATGGCTCAATACATTGAGATTTTATGAAGAAAAACTTTTTTTTATGTTTGAGCGAACTCTGACTTTAATCTGTGACCGACTCTTGGGTCTGGATGTGTTTTGTCTACTGAATTCATCACCGGCACTGAATCATGACTCGTGACTGAGAGATAGGCATCATACAGTAAACATCCAACATCATAGACAATGAAATAACCCACATTAGAAATAACCTGCAGGTTATGAACTTGTGACATGACTGCAGATTTCATTGTCTCTGAAAAAGACTCATCAATCAAACTGAACAAAAAAAAAGATCCATCTACTATGCAAAAACAACATTTAGAACCCTCAAACCAGATGTTATGGTTGTAAAACACCGTCTTTTACGCTCAGTACACAATGCTATGAGTAACATGCATAAGAGCAGCAATTATTTCATGAGTCAGTGCGAGAGGAAGAAAAGAAATAAACACAGACAGAGAGAGATGCTACAAGTGATCCAGACACTGTAGTTGTGAAAACATTGAACTTTGCACAATTTGGCTCAGGTGTGTTAATCTGCAATCCAGCTGACTCAAAGAGCTTTCTGTGATAAACAGGTGTGAAATCATTGTTGATTACTGTGCAGATGCCACAGAGACAGTAATCACATGTGCTGAGTGATGATTCTTTTAATAAATATACCCCCTGTGGCTCTGGCTAGCTAAAGCCTGGCTGAATTTAACAAACATCTGCCTGAAGTCATACTCTTGGTTTCAACAGAGAGCTTTCAAAGCCACAAAACTTTTAAAGATCATTCCAGTGAACAGCTCTTTTAATGATCATGAACAGCATTTTATTAACATTAAGAACATTTTACCACTTTTTTGCTTTGGAAATTATTTATGGAAGTTAAAGGATCTTCTTAAAACAATTGATGCAAAAGACTACAATTTATGTTCACCCTTTGGTGGTCTTTTCACACTTCTCAAAAAGTGATATTTTAAACGTTTTACTTCATCAAAATTGCACTGCATGAAATGATGTGACTTTTCTGGCAATTGTTAGTTTGGATATGATTTAAAATGACTCATAATCACATAATCTCTAAATCAACAAATAGATAAATAAATATATATCCAATGCAAATTTATATGCTTATCCTCAATCTGCTTTAACTGCCAAGGATCACAAGTGTGATTTCTGAATGATATACATAATTATAATTATACACTCGCCAGCCACTTTAATAGGTACACCTCACTGTTGATTACATGGCGCATTATCCTGCTGTAAGTAGCCATCGGTACACTGTGGTCATAAAGGGATGGACATGGTGAGCAACAATACTCAGGTAGGCTGTGGCAATGACCAGATGCTCAATTGGTACTAATGGGCCCAAGTGTGCCACGAAAATATCTCACACACCATTACACCACCAGCCTGAACAGTTGATTCAAGGCAGGATGGATCCATGCTTTCATGTTATTGATAACAAATTCTGACCCTACCCTAAAATCAAGACTCATCAGACCAGGCAACGTTTTTCCAATTTTCTATTGTCCAATTTTGGTGAGCCTTTGCGAATTATAGCTTCAGTTTCCTGTTCTTTGTTGACATGAGTAGCACCCGGAGTGGTCTTCTGCTACTGTAGCCCATCTGCCTCAAGGTTGGACATGTTGTGCGTTCAGAGATGCTCTTCTGTAAACCTCGGTTGTAACGAGTGGTTATTTGAGTTACTGTCTGGCCCCTGGCATCAACAAGGCATTTGCGCCCACAGAACTGGATATTTTCTCTTTTTTGGACCATTCTCTGTAAACCCTAGAAATGGTTGTGTGTGAAAATCTCAGTAGATCAGCAGTTTCTGAAATACTCAGATCAACCCGTTTGGCACCAACAAACATGTCACGTTCAAAATTACTTAAATCACCTTTCCTCCCCATTCTGATGCTCGGTTAAAACTGCAGGAGATCGTCTTGACCACGTCTGCGTGCACATGCCTAACATTCCTAAATGCACTAGGCTGCTGCCATGTGATTGGCCGATTAGACATTTGCATTAACGAGCAGTTAGACAGGTGTACAACTCTGCGGCCGGTGAGTGTATAAACTGTTATTTGAATTATCAATAAAAAAATGTATTAATAAATGAATAAAAATTTTAATAAACAGCCTAATGAATTATGGTCAGAATGCAGATGAACGTAGCGAGTGTTAAAATAATGTCAACATTTTAGAACATTAACAAAAACCTGACAATCATACAGTGTTGAAAGTCAGAGAACAGCTTCGATTTGTACTTCAGCAGGGTATACTTTATATTTTAAAGTGGCTTGACGTTTAAAAAGACAATCTCAAAAGAAATCTTAGGTTTAGGTGAATACTGTTAAAATAATATTACGTAAGGTTTTGCAGCCTAACGTGGATTTCCTTTCGGTTCTTATTCCTGCAGCTGTAACAACATTCCACTTTTTCATTTGTTCACTTTGGAATTCGGAGCTAATCGTTTGAGCGGTCTTAATATGTTTTTTCAGATCATTTAAAAAAGCATGCATTTTAATGGTGCAGGCAAATTATGTATTTAATCCCTCAAGTCGTTAATTGAAAAAAAATAAATAACTGCGAGTCATGTTCGCCATCCTGCCACAAACAGTTCCAAACTGCTATCGTAATTACGGTCTTTATAGCTAACGATTGTTATTTGTAAACATAACGCCACTAACATCCCCCTCCTCATGCAACATAATGATTTTCAATGGCCTCATATAAGTCAAAGACTGGAAGCAGAGGAAACCCAGAACAGAGAGTGGTTTGTCTACCTAAAAGATCTCGCATCATTGAGTGTCCAAGCCTTCGTAAATGAGTTGCATGCCATGAAGGGGATCCCATATTAAGCTGAGGTCCAGGCACAATGAGATCATTGTCACATGTGACAGACTGGACTAAATAAGCAGCGCTGCTTCGCCACCTTTGAGAGATCTGATGAGCTTTCTATGCTGACATTGTTTACGAGGCAAGTGTGAGGCCTTTAATAAAACGATGCTGAACCCTAATAAAGCGTAAGCTTGACATGACATCTGTTTAATATATGAAACTATATATTCAGAGGAGAAACAAAGCCTGCATTCATGTCATTTCATGGATATAAGACTTTGTTCAGAATGCACATAAAAATAAATCTTTATTCCCTCTGTAAATTTGGATACTCATTACGGCAAATAATCATATTTGGCAGTTCAGTGAGTCAGATGTTGAACCAGCCAATGCTCTAATCACTTCAGTTCAGTGAAGGAT